CTACGATAGATAGCGCGCGTGTATACGAGCATTTCACTGTGTGTGCGATCGATTTCAAATTGTGAAGACCATTTGCCCCATTCAAAAAATCTCTCTGTATAGGCATTTGTGAACTGTTATTTACGATATTTGTAATAATTTTTGTTTAATCACTTTATTTCAACTTTTTTTGCTAATTATGTATTCGCTCGAACTTTGTTAAAACCTTAACTGTACCCCAAACAACAACCGAAGTTGTAAAAGGAAATTCGCTTATTTTACCGATCTAGGTATCCCCCTTTTCCAAATTTTAATATCAACACAAAATAATTTAAAAAGACAAATTACAATAAATCGGTTTATTATCCAACTATTAGAAATTTCACATCATGCCAAGGAAGAGAAGAAGGAGCAATTAAATAGTTAAAATTATAAAGGATTAAAAATATATATATAAAATGGGGAATATCGCACTTCTGACAATCTCTGCGAGTNATGCCAAGGAAGAGAAGAAGGAGCAATTAAATAGTTAAAATTATAAAGGATTAAAAATATATATATAAAATGGGGAATATCGCACTTCTGACAATCTCTGCGAGTATGCGGACTAAATTTAAAGAATCCGTGCTTCTCACATGTACAACTGTATGTGGCCAGCTCACGCATTGGAAAAACTTCTGATTTATTCGTGTACGCACCAGACAAAAAAACAAAAAATATCCTGTATCCACAAGCACTTTAATAAATAAATAAAACTGAAACGACACTTTGAAATGTTTTTTCCGATGAAAATGAATAATAATAATAATAAGTTTCAATAAAAATGATAAAATGTAAATTTTATCATAACGAGTTTGCTTGAATTTCGTTTCTTCTGAAATCGCAGCAATGCGCGACGGATAAGTTAGTGAAAAATAAATATTTCGAAAAGAAAAAGAGGTATGAAGATTTTTTAATTACTATAAGAGACATAAATACTATATGAATCCTAAGATTATATTTTAACAACTATAACAAATCATATGATGTCTTACGTAAATACATTAATATCTTCAAATATTCTATTAATGTACTAACCAAATCTTAATTTATTTAGAATACATTCATCAACAAATAAATTACAGTCGACCCCCCTATAACACGGGTTCCTATAGTTCGGATTCCTATATCACGGCGAAAAAATTTGCGACAATACTGTCGCAAATTTTTTCGCCGTGATATAGGAATCAGAACCCGTGACGTCGACTTTTTCTTGTAGACTATGACGTCTACAAACATTAAAAATTGGTAAAATTCTTCCTGACAGTTATATAATCGCCAGGGCTGTGGAGTCGGAGTCGGACTCGGAGTCGGAGTCGTGGAGTTTTGGTGTTTTAGCCGGAGTCGGATGGTAAGGAAAAGTCGGAATCGGAGTTGGAGTCGGTAGATTTTTACGCGACTCCACAGCCTTGATAATCGCATAAGTTTGTATAGTCATAATTTTCAATTTTGAAATAAGTCAAAATAATCCCGGGCATCTATGTACAATAAATTTAGTAATTTCATAAATTTAAAATATTTTTATCGTTTATTTCTTTAATAGTAAACACTAAATATAAATATTCTAATATTTTATTTACTAAAAATGCTGAATTATTTCTCGTTAATATATTTGTTTAGGTTGCAGATATTACTGGTATTCCTCTAATTTTACAAAGCGACATTCCAGTGGATTACACACCAGTCATACTGGTGCATCCTGTTAAATTTATTGTAGCAGAAAGAAAACTAAAATCTGATTGGAAAACTGTTACTCGACCTTTTGGTTTTCAGGTATGTTCGTGAGATATATTTAAAAACTTTGCTTAACGATCATTAATAGCAAATGGAAATTATATCTTTTCATAAAGAAACCATATGCCATTATAATAAATACGACTTTTTTCGAACTTATGTTTGAGCTATACCAATCGTTCAGGAACATAATAAAACACTATCTTTAAAGCGAAAAATCATATTTGTTCAACTGAGAAACTCTAAGTGAAAAGCGTAAAGTTTATTAATGTCTGCGCTTTTACTTATGGGGAAATCGCAAAGAAAACAGAGCACTGGGATATTTGCCGATTTCAATTTAGTTTTTAAAATAATACAGTAGAGCATCGATTATCCGACTCAATTGGAGACTGGGGTTGGTCGGATAACTGAAAAAACGGATAACCGAAAAATATGAAAAAATACATTATTAATATAGTATATTAGTATATCTCATGTAATTAGTATATTAGTATATCGCTATTAACCTACTTTGCGTTGAATTTTCATCGATGTTAAGCCTAAGAAAATTTTTTTTAAAATAATAATCGTCGCTATTGTATCGTTAAAAATTAGAAAATTATGCCTCGTTTAAATTCTGGCTCCCTTTCATGATCAATCCAGTGTTGCCAGCTAAAACACGTAAAAGTACTATTAAAGTAGCCAAGACATAGCCAAATATTGTAGCGCCACATCACTAGCGGACATTTGAATTTGCCGACTAGAACGGTCGGTTAACCGATGTGACGGTTAATCGGGGGTCGGATAATAGATGCTCTACTGTACTTACATCAAACAAATGAAATATTTTACGTGATGCAAATAAACTGTGGAGGAGAAGGTGGTACTATGGAACCCCATTTTCATTACAGTGAATTGTAAACAAGGTATCATAACTACACCCACATTTTTTGTGCGAAAAGTAGTGGTAAATATTAAACTAAATGTTCTTAATTAGATTTTTTGCTAGTGTAACTATAAGTATGGTGCTTGAAGGCTTCTGTACAAAACGTCAAAAAGTAGGCTTAGGGAAAATTGAGTGGTAATATGGAATCTTAATGTATGTTTTCAAAAATGCTTTAATGTATCCAAAAACAAATAGAAAAGTGCAAAGAATGTTAAATAATTGCAAAATTATTTACCTCAATGTATTTTATCGAAAAAATGATTTAATAATAATAATACTGTAATAAAGAAATGTACAAAGAAGAAGCTAATCATTTACCAAAATTACAAATATAATGCTCCTATAGTATTAGGTATCTATTTTTACTTTTCTCATTTTCCTTCTATTTTTTTCATTCATCTACCACATACTTTTACAAAAGTTAGACGGGTTCCATATTAAAAGCACCAATGGGGTCTGTATTTTACGCATCGCCATCTTGAATTAACTTATGTCTGTGAAGACCAAATTTTAAAAAACGTGAACACCACACAAAACAATATGTAACCTAAGTCTCTGGAACGGAATACATGCACCAGTGAACCTACAACTACACGATTTATATTTTAGAAATAATTAAATTCACTTAGCATTCAAAACTTTCGAATTTCGAAAAACACAAATATGCTGATTCAATACAGACAACCGTTTAACTGAAGTGAAACGGGTTTTCCCCTTGCTATGGATGTCTGCCTAGTACAGTTCAGCCACAATCCACTACAGTTTACCTTTATTATCAGTTTGAAATGGAGAAATTTCATAATACCTGCAAGATTCCATAATACCACCTTCTCAATATATATGTTGTCTTTGATCTCGTAAGTAAAATTTTCAAACATCCTTTCAAATGTAAATAGAATATTAAATTATGGGATGACTACAAATCATGAAATAGATGAAAACTCCTTCTCTCTCTGTTTTGAAATAACTAATTTTACATTGTGCTAAAAGGTTTAATGTGCTATTTTTGGGTGTATTAGTGTATTGTTAAATCAGATTTATATGAAGTTTTCAATTAGTTTTCTCTGTATACAGTATTTACATTGTGCTAAAAGGTTTTATGTGCCATTTTTGGGTGTATTAGTGTATTGTTAAAGCAGATTTATATGAAGTTTTCAATTAGTTTTCTCTGTATACAGTATTTATATAATATAATATACTATATTAGATTTTTATATTATTGTAATTACAGTAGAGCGTCGATTTTTCGAAAGTCAATCATCCGAAAGAATTCCAGTCCGCAAATTTAAATTTTCGCTAGTGCTATGGCGCTTCAATCTTTGGCTATGTCTTGGGCTACTCAAATATTTTAAGTTTTTGATACTAAATTAACATCTGAAGTATAATTTTTTATTATTTTTATATTTTTAAATATATTTATTTTGTTTGTACAAAATAAAAAAATAATTTTTAACGATACAATAGTTTTTGTTAGGTTTAACATCGGCGAAAATTCAACGCAAAGCGACACGCAACGGAGAAAAATTTCGACATCGGATACGTTAAACTATTTTTTCGTACGTAAATCAGTTATCCGGACAACCCCAATCCCCAATTGATTCGGAAAATCGACGCTCTACTGTATATTATAATATAATATTCATATAACATTATTTATTTTTCTACATATTTTTCTAATTTTATTTATATCATTTTTTTATTTGTGTAATGAACTGAAATTCGTATCGAGAAAAACGTTATAAACCTCGAAACACATGTAGACGAACGTTCGAATATTATAATCTTTTCAAACTATAGTTCTAAACTTTTATAATATGTTTCTCGTTCTAATTTTTAGATATGAAATTACTGAACGCTCAATTAAACATTTAGTTGCTTGGAGTAGATTGTTTTTATAGTAAAGAAGAAGGGGATATGTCTGTTCAGTTAAGTGCTTCGATAAACACTTAAAGCCTGAAATTTTATTCATTATTACTCCAAGAAACAACATATAGTAAATTAAATTAATTATTTAATAGAAATAATAATCATTATTGTGTACAAGTGTGTGCCAAAAGATTTTGTTGCATCTGAAAAACATGCAAAACATCAATCACTAAAGAAAAACATTGGAAGTTAAGTGAGGTAGATAACATCTGACAGATTAATACGAATTTAGCTTGAATTAGAGAAACGCATCCGTAAATGCTTAGAAAGAAATAATCAACACCGTCTGTGTAATTTTGCATATAAAATCACATTTCTTTGCAAGATGCTAAATTATATCTTTTGTATTTCTATTACCAGTTCACTCCATTTATTTATTTTTATTTATTTTGGAAAGATTAAGTTGTATGTAATTAATGACAATGTATGAACTTGGATTATATAGAGCTGACAGCATATTGTTTCAATTGGTCAGCCAAACGTCTTTGTTTTTCCAAAATTTATAAAATTATTCTTATCATTGATTGTTTATCCAGGTACGTAATAATATAATGTCATAATTACTTTTATATTATTTCTTATAATATACAGGTAACCCCCGTATAACAAGGTAGTTACGTTCCAAAAAATTGCCGTGTTATCCGAAACAAAAAATTAGTACGAAAAGGAGGGTTAGGTTCCAAAAATTAAAAAACATTATCTTAATTATGAAAATATAATAGCAATATGTTTATTAAAATTTTCTTAAGTGATACATATTAATATAAATTAAACAATGTTTTCTTCGTCATCACTAAAAGCACTATTAACCGAGAGTGTTTTCTTTTTGGCAAGTTAACCTTATCCTCTGAGCATTTTTCTGCATTATCTTCAGATCCATGCTTTACCATTTTCAAAAAGTATGTAATTTTAGATTGCTTGTTTCTAGTTAAAAAATCTTTATAAATTTCCTTATATGGTGCTAAGCACTTATGAAGAAGAAAGCAAGTATGGAGTAAGGGAAAAACATCTGGCAACATCAAGATCAGAAGCGTCAAGATCTGGCAACACTGAAACAAGTTTCGAGAAGGACCATGTGTATCGACAGAAGGCAAAAAAAGAAAATTTACATACTTAAGTACTAATAGTTCACGAAAATAATAATTTTCGTGAACTATTATTACTTAAGTATGTAAAAATTTATTACATTTTATGTTGTACGAGGGTTTTACCCAATTCTCGAACCGTGTCAGAATCCGTGCTGTAACAGTACCGTATTAAACGGGGGGGTTTTACCAATTCTCGAACCGTGTTAGAGTGAATCTGTGCTATAGAAGTGCCGTGTTATACGGGGATTACCTGTAATCTATTTTTATATTTATTTATAAATATATAGTTCATTTTTCTGAGAAAATAAACTTCAAATTTGAATTTCTGTATTTATTTTAAACTGAACCTAAGACAGTTACATAAACACGGGACACAAGGTGATCACCAGAAATAGACTGTAAAATATTTACGGTAGTATTAGCTATAATTTAAAATAGATCTGTTTATTAGATCTTAGAAATCAAGAATAAGTTATCATTCAATTCTCGAATTGTGTATGATATCAAACAGGATACATTACATCGTGATCTGACAAAGATGTTTTGAAAAACTGGTGCTCATCATTGGGATAATTATGGTAACATTTACAAAACAAAGCAAGCTATCATTATTACTTAATTTTAAAAATTGCAAGTTTATTTATATTTTCTATATTTCTTGAAATTATGATGAAAATATTTGAAATTTGTATTTCTAAAATAACGTCCTAATACTCAACGGTAATATTGATATAAATTCATTTTCCTTCATATGTAAAAATTAATATCAATATATCAGCTTTGGATTGCCCTGGGAGTTTCGATGGTGCTTCTTGGAATCATCTTGTCGAAGTTAATAAACTATGGACAAAATATAAAGAAAACCAGAAACTTTTGGACAATACAGAGAGCTATGTTGTTCCTGATTGCATCATGTTCCATGCAAGGTTTGTATGAAAATATGCCAAGTGTACTTTTGTGATTATCCATATGAATACATTAATGTTTTTCAACAATTTTTAGGAACTAATTTGAGCGATACAACAGATTGTTCTTCAAGATTATCGATCGGAATTTGCCTCTTTTCAACCTCTGTATTAGGATTTGGTTATGCTGGAATATTAATTTCATTTCTGACTACACCTTCTTATGAACCGGTTCCAAAAACCATAAATGAATTAGCCACTGCCGTGAAACTCGGAGAATATTTCTGTGGTACATTTTCAGGAAGAGAAGTTTCCTCATATTTAAAAGTTAAGCAAATTCATGATATAATATCCAATGTTTATTTTTGAAATTTTGCGATCTATATTAAAATATTAGTCGTACATTAGCCTATATACTATAAAGTGCTGAAAATATAATTACAAAATATATAATTTAGTATAGATTGTAATAGAGAATATTATCCATTCTTACAGTATATGAAATATTATCAAATGTAAAGAAAACGATGTAATGAGATACCTAGTAAAATTATGTATTTTTATGGATTATTTTCTGAAAATATGGCTGAAACTTAACAGGAAATATTGTACTCATTTTAATATAAAAGCTCTTGTTTTTATTTTAATTTTTTAAAGTTGAAAGCTGCAGACTTCATATGAAAATTTTGTTGTTCAAACCTGAAATTATATTTTCTACTTATATCAGTGCTGATTATGATTAACAAATTATACAATTTTAACTTCTTTCGTCAAAATTATGAGATGAAATTTATTCTGTGATAGGTATAGAAATACAGTAATTAGATATAAATAAAAACTTCATTTTCACTTTCTTTATGTTCTAGTGATTTTTATTGCTCCATACATTTTAAATTTGAACTTATTTATTTTCTATCAAAAGTTCACAATTGTAAATGAGATATTTTTCTAAATGAAATCTTGTAACGAATTCTAGTTAATCAAACTAAGAATACTGCAGCTTTTATTTTTATGTCTTACGATTTTTACGTATGTTGTACACCCCAAGAAAATTCTTTTTGTTCAATTACTTTGAATTGTTTTGTTTTATTTTATTTTATTTTATTTTTTATTTTAATAGAGTCAAACCCTGGGATTGGAAATTAACTCGATTTTAACAGTTGTTTTAAAACCGATTTATTCTAATAAAGGAGTAAATGTTTACGTAAGAAGCAATACGAAATGGATTAATTTGTTCCCGATCTCCAAAACAAAGTCCGTTTACCTATTTTGCTATATTTCATGCATTAAATTGCCTAATTGTAACTAGACTACTTGCTTTCGTGTTGATTTATTTGCTTGTATTTCATCTTAGCAAACAGAGTTGAGTCTGTATTTATAAAGGTTAGTTTCGGTTGTCGGCGACAGAAAGTATTGTGTTTAATTTACAAATGCAATGTAATATTATATATAATATAATTTCTATATATTTATTCTATACATAAATTAAACAAAATACATTTTGTCATCGACAACCGAAACTAACACTATAAATAAAGACTCAATTCTGTCTGCTAAGATGAAAGTCAACGAAATCAATCAACAGGAGAAGCAAGTTGTTTAGTTACAATTTCCGAAATGTTGTATTTCAATTGATTTAATTTCAACTTTAATTTAAATTTTAATTAATTAATTAATTAATTTCGATTTTATTTTTAATCTTTATTTTAGTTTTAGTTTCGGTTTCAGGAAGAAAGTTTTGATTATTATAATAATTTAATTATTATTTCTGTTATAATTAACTAGCTATGTAGTATTAATAAAAAATAAGTATTAATATTATAATATATAATATTATATAAATTCNTTACAGTATATGAAATATTATCAAATGTAAAGAAAACGATGTAATGAGATACCTAGTAAAATTATGTATTTTTATGGATTATTTTCTGAAAATATGGCTGAAACTTAACAGAAAATATTGTACTCATTTTAATATAAAAGCTCTTGTTTTTATTTTAATTTTTTAAAGTTGAAAGCTGCAGACTTCATATGAAAATTTTGTTGTTCAAACCTGAAATTATATTTTCTACTTATATCAGTGCTGATTATGATTAACAAATTATACAATTTTAACTTCTTTCGTCAAAATTATGAGATGAAATTTATTCTGTGATAGGTATAGAAATACAGTAATTAGATATAAATAAAAACTTCATTTTCACTTTCTTTATGTTCTAGTGATTTTTATTGCTCCATACATTTTAAATTTGAACTTATTTATTTTCTATCAAAAGTTCACAATTGTAAATGAGATATTTTTCTAAATGAAATCTTGTAACGAATTCTAGTTAATCAAACTAAGAATACTGCAGCTTTTATTTTTATGTCTTACGATTTTTACGTATGTTGTACACCCCAAGAAAATTCTTTTTGTTCAATTACTTTGAATTGTTTTGTTTTATTTTATTTTATTTTATTTTTTATTTTAATAGAGTCAAACCCTGGGATTGGAAATTAACTCGATTTTAACAGTTGTTTTAAAACCGATTTATTCTAATAAAGGAGTAAATGTTTACGTAAGAAGCAATACGAAATGGATTAATTTGTTCCCGATCTCCAAAACAAAGTCCGTTTACCTATTTAGCTATATTTCATGCATTAAATTGCCTAATTGTAACTAGACTACTTGCTTTCGTGTTGATTTATTTGCTTGTATTTCATCTTAGCAAACAGAGTTGAGTCTGTATTTATAAAGGTTAGTTTCGGTTGTCGGCGACAGAAAGTATTGTGTTTAATTTACAAATGCAATGTAATATTATATATAATATAATTTCTATATATTTATTCTATACATAAATTAAACAAAATACATTTTGTCATCGACAACCGAAACTAACACTATAAATAAAGACTCAATTCTGTCTGCTAAGATGAAAGTCAACGAAATCAATCAACAGGAGAAGCAAGTTGTTTAGTTACAATTTCCGAAATGTTGTATTTCAATTGATTTAATTTCAACTTTAATTTAAATTTTAATTAATTAATTAATTAATTTCGATTTTATTTTTAATCTTTATTTTAGTTTTAGTTTCGGTTTCAGGAAGAAAGTTTTGATTATTATAATAATTTAATTATTATTTCTGTTATAATTAACTAGCTATGTAGTATTAATAAAAAATAAGTATTAATATTATAATATATAATATTATAGTAATAAATTTTTGTTATTTAATATGTGTTAAATATCTTTACACAAGGATATGTGGAGGACACTTAATGTTCATAATTTGGAANTTGCTTTTCTGTCTTCTTCATGATTTTTCAGAAGTAATTACTATTGTAATTGTAGAGATCCCTAAGCTCAACCTCAACCTGGTTTGGATGCCATTTTAAGACCGTTGTTCTGACATCCTCCCACTTCTTCAAAAGATCTTTAATAGCAGATATTGGCATAAATCCGCTTTTTCAGAAAAAAACATAAAAGAATTGTTTCTATGAGAAATATAAAAGGCTGGAATTACAAGGGAGAGTTTCAAAGTTTGGGGAATACTATCCGATCAGTATATTCTGGGTTGAACGTCAATGTCAACGTCTCTCGCTCTCCAAAAAGTTTCGAATTGTTGCCTGAAGACAAAGGGAGACCAATCGGTATTCGTTATTTTACATTGCTTCTTCTTGTGTTTGTTCAGTGAAGTGTTCATTGTCCGATCATAAAAATCTTTCGCGAAAGTGTTCGTTATCCGATTTGTTCATTAACGGATCACCCACTGTATTATTATATATTCATTATTAATATTATAATATATAATATTATATTAATAAATTTTTTTTATTTAATTTAATTTAAACACGAATTCTTGAATGTCATTTATACTACGTAAAATTAAATTAACGCAGTTTTTAGTAATTGGAACACAAATCAATTATTGTATTTATTCAGACACTTGGCAAATGACATCATTAAATTTTATTCAGTTGATTTGCCAAGTGTCTGAATAAATACAATAATTGATTTGTGTTCCAATTACTAAAAATTACTGGCACGGTTTCAAAAACACCAAAACGCAGTTTTTTTTTTTTTTAATTTTCTTTAGATTCGATTTTTACGCTTACCGAAAAGAGGAAATATTATTTTTCTCGCACACGCATTAAAATCTAATTTAAATGGCAACGTTATCGATGATTCGTGTCGCAACATATAGTAACACGAGGCGATCTCGGTGTCACTAACTTTAGAATCGGTAGTCTTGTTGCTGATTTGTCGAGCCGTCGACTTTATCATAGGCAGAGTAGCTTGTCCTGCAACCGATTTTTCGTACGGTAATAGGAGTCAAATATAAGCTTAAAATTTTGTTCGTGAACGAAATTGTACGAAAAGCGCGGCGTCCGAATCCGAGGCTTAACTGAAATTCACTATTTACCACAAGAAATGAAAACTATAGGCCTATTCTCAATGTATAAACAGTGTTAATGTGTATAGAAGTGTTATTTAAATATAACAGTTTTGCACAGTTATAATAATTATGGTTAATTTTATATATTTTGTTTCAGGGAAAAAAATCAACTGATACAGAAATATTAATAGACTTCATGGAAAGAAATCCTGATATGTTAACACACAGTGCATCAGCTATAGCTTCAAAAATGAAAAATGAACGTTACGCTTTCATTACGACAGAGATGTTTGCGAGAGGAAGAATTTTGTTGTTATTTCAAGGCAAATCATCACTGAGTGAAGATAATTTTAAGTCCATTCTATCAGGATATTTGCTTAGAAAAGATTTTCCATACAAAAGATCAATCAACAAAATGTAAGAACATAAAATTACTGTAATTTTAATTTTTCTCTTGCAATTGTATTATAGATATGTTCTGATTGTATTACACATTCTTTATTACAGCATAACTCGTTTATTTGAGGTTGGAATTCTACAACATATTGTAGGAAAAGAGCATTATAGTCAGCATGAAGATAAGGATAAAGTTCACCCATTAAAGCTAGAAGAACTTGCAGGAAGTTTCGTTGTTCTTCTTATTGGATATATATTATCTCTTCTTTCTTTTATTGGCGAATTGGTAACTGGCTATTACGCTAAGTCAAAAAGATTTTAATCAATGATAATTTATAATATGTAGATTTATCTTCTGGAGTTTGTAGTAATTAAATTCTGTATTTAGTACAGCGTTTCAGAAAGAAAATTATTTCTTTGTACTCAGTAGTACCTATTCTTGCCTCATTTCAATTTTGATTGATGTTATATTATAAATGTCTACCTTCTGTTGTGGAAAGTAGAAAAGAAAACTCTAGTAATTATAACACATTGAATATATTCTCTACACTTCTTAATATTAAAATTTATATTTAATCACATTTTCATTGATGTGCAATAAAAATTTTCAAAACTTTTCGCCCAAATACGAACTCTTATATTAAACAAACTTAATTAAAATGTAAATTAATAACTATAGTATTTTTTTAAAATATGTGAATTTTCTAAACTTTCACTGCTCCAAATGTAGGAAAAAATGATTCAATTTTTCTGTCTGTAACATTGAACTTTAGAATTTCATATAACTTGAAATAATACTGTTTTTTTAATTTTTTAAGAAATTTAATATTGAAATACATTTGATCTTGGCTATTTCAAACGTGTTTATCACGAAAACCTGTTTATCTTAAAATTTATATTTTTCTTTGCATTTTCAGCGTAAAGTTATTACATTTTTCATGTTTAAATCAAGTAATATTTTTCGGATACCCGAACAACTAAAATTATGGAAGTTGGAATATTATTGCTTGGTGACTTTTTGATAGCGTCAATTGTAAATGAGAAACATCTTTTTTAATATTGTAAACGATTGCATTTAACGCTATTTTTCTCTGATTGGCTCATTGTTTGACTTGACGAATTTCTTTACAGTGATATGATATTTGGGCGATCTGTCAACAGAAGGAGTTTCTATCAGATATATAAAAGTGGCATCTGTTTAGGTGTTAGAAACGTAAAGTAAACCCGAAAGCCAAGCTAGTTGACATGATGAAAATAATGGAAAACTAATTTTCTGTAGTTTTATCCATGTGGCCACTGATGAACTTGCTTCTCATTGACTGAAAAAAGTCAGGAATTAAAAACAATTTATGAATTATTTTTGATAACATATGTGAAAAAAGTTTAAATAATATAATGCTCCAAACATGTATGTACTCTACTTTCTATTGTATTAATAAAAACACACTTTAATCGAACACACTTGTTACTGTTTACTGTATAATAATCTGTACATCTCGACACCTGTCTATCTGGAATTTTTTTGGTCTTTTTGTGATTCTTGATAGACAAGTTCAACTGAAACTGAATACATTTTCTAATTGTAAATTTTTATCTGCTTTACTTGCTTTTACACTGCGTGATATCAATTTTGTGTTATTGTGTTACAAAAGAAGCACGTTGCATGACTGTATCATATGTTTCTGTTTTAATAAATACATTCGCATGCAATTGGTTTCTTGTTATTTGATTTTATGCATTTTCAAAAATTATTTTTCAAAAAGCATTAAATCAAAGAGCTTAAGTGTTTTTATACTGTAATATTCTTCATACCTTTTGTGATGCAACTTTATGGTTGTGAGCAAGAACAGAGATGCTTCGATTTTATTTTTGCACTTCTTTTTCCCAAATCTTCTGTTTACAATAAAATGACTACGTTTAGCCCTATACTGGCCAAGTTCAATCTGTCAATAGTTATTTTTCAGAATAGAACTCTCAGCTGTCACCAAGAAATGTCAAATATGGAGAGATACAAACGTATGATAAGTTATGGAATGAGTGTACAAGATATTATATACTGCGGCCCAGGATAGGAATGTAGGAGGAATACATTATAAAGCCTATAATTCTGTCGTGTGCAAAAGAAGAGCTTCAAGTTATAGGAAAAGCTATAATTTCTATATGGTCTCATCACCTTGTGTTCAGATCAAAACGTGATTCTAACTTTCCAATTTGTACTTAGTCTTAATTGAAAAATTTCTCAACAAATGTACGAACAAAAATGGAGTAAACATGAACACCTGCCTTATATTCACTCTTTGTTTAATTTGCAAAACTGAAGACAAAATGATTCCCACGTTGTTGCCACTAATGTCACCGTTAATCTCGAGCCCCGCCTGATGATTTGCTCGGTATTGAGATTGTAAAATTGCAATTCTAGGAACAGGATAGCTCATGGCACCAAAGAACAGCTAGATACCAATCACCTGTAGATTGGTTCAGATAATAGTCGTTGTACTGATGAGTTTTTTGTATAGAACTCCAAATTTTAAATGAGCACATTGGTTGAGTTTAATTAAATAAAACATTTCATTTTCAGATGTTCCTGCTAGTAATTTTTGATTTAAATGAGTTTATCTTGTGTTTGTTGTCTTTTGAAGTAACGGAAAAAATTATTTTTTATGAAAATACATATAATATTTTATAAACATACTAATTGTAGCGATTCGATGCACTTTGAGTTATATTTTATTTTTATCACAAGATTTCTTGTAAGCATCTGATACACTTTGACATATATTTTTAATTTACTTCTTCGAATCGATTTAATTTTTTATCGTATCATCAAGAACGTTTCAAATATGATGAAGTAGATTATTTTTTTTAGTCAACATGTTTGTATTCTATTTAAAAAGCTTATGTTAGGATATGTTTTATTAGAAGTTAAAATTTAAAAAAATTTATTTAATTATTACAATTATATTTAATAAAATTTTTTGGCAAGGATATGTTTTATTACAAAAACTGTGTAATAAGTAAATTTTAGAATATTGTTTCCTTTTTGTATAATTTTAAATATCCATATCTGTTAAAAATAATAATTATCATTTTTTTAAATTTTCAGTGAAAGTAGACAGAAAAAAATTTAGAAATTGATAACTCTCAATATATTTAAAACTAGCAGAAACTGCCATGCGTTGTTGTGGCTCAAAATGTATCTATTATAAATGTATAACGCTTTTCCCGTGGAGGAATTTTTCGAAAAATCCTTTCTTAGTGTACATTCTCTTGACGTACCCTATTAAAACGCAATCAAAAACGCAAAAAACCGCATCTAAAATAGTATAATAGAAGCCAAGTTCTTTACCGTAAGCCTTAATCCTGTCCCTCTAACCCGCGGGGGAAATTTCGACATGCATATTATATAAAAACACCTGTGTATTCGATTGCAGCGTTGTGTGAAAATTTCAAAAGAATCGGTTAGAACAAATGAACATTACATTTTTATCTATAAGTTACTAACATTATAAAGAGGTAATGTTTGTAAGTATGTAAGTTTGTATTCAGCAGGTTATCTCCGAAACAACTCATCCGATTTCAAAAATTCTTTCACCAATATATAGAATGCAACTTCAGGGTGGACATAGGCTGTATATTATTCCGTTAAACATTCATATAAATTAAAAGATATAATCTAGATTAAGACTTTTATGTCCAACAGATGGCGCTACGAGTACGACGCCCTAAGTTTGCTTTTCTGTGAGGCATTACGCTTTTCTAGTGTAGTGGGAAGACGTGTGACGCACATGCTTCAGTTAATTTTTCATAAGTAAAAGTGTACGAATAACAGAAAAAAGTAAAAAGTGAAAAGTGAATAGTGAAGTGTGAAAAGTAAAAATATACAAAACAATGCCAAAGCGTAAGAAAGAATTTTTGCGGTCTCAAGTCATATCTCAAAGGCAAAAGATGGCGCAGAGAAATGTAACCACGGAAGAAAGAGAAATACATCTAACATTGCTACGAGAAAATTATCAACGAAACAGAAATAATCAGACAGAAGAGCAACTTGAAAATTATAGGGAAACACATCGAATCAGAGAAAGATTATGTAGAGGAAGAAAAACAGTCTTATATATATAAACTATATTACATATAAATGTACGAACAAATGAAAACCCAGAAAGCGGGTACTTGCAGATAGTTATATATATTATTACATGGCATTTGTAAAAAATTTTTAGTATGAAATACAACTAACTACGTAAAAATGTCTTTATTTTAGGAGTCAGAGTTGATAAAACTTATATTATGATATTACATAAAGCAAATAATTTAATTAATCGATGAATTTAAAAACATTATAATATAATAAAATATGTAAATAACATTAACTGAGATAAAGATATATTGTTGGATATACATGCACACTGGAATAATGGCATGGTGTAGTGCCACATTGAAGTGATTGTGGTACATTCTACTGAAAAGGCATCGATGTGTTTCATGCTAAATACATAAGGAAGATGTATTTTAATGTTATAATTTAAATAAAATTTCTTTTTTAAAAATTTTTGTGGTCATAGTATTTTAATCTTCAGAAGTTAGTATAGATTGAGTATAGATTGAGTGTAGACTCCAAAAGGATATTTCTATAAATTTTTCAAATTTTATATGTAAAGATGTTATTATCTTCTAAAATAATTCCAAAATTTTAGGTGAGAAAAATAAATTAATGTCATGTTTTTGCATTTTCAATTCATGGTCACTAGATATGGACTATTTCATATGTCAGCTTTTGATACTGAGTATTCATGATCTCCATTAAATGAGTGTTAAAATATTACACCATTAGTCGCGAAATAGATATTTCAACTGGATTGACTTTTTGACAAATGAATGAGAAGCCAATCAGAAAATAGTAAATGTCATTGGAAGGATTTACGTCATTTCCAATGAAACAGCTTTGTAGATAGACACATTTAATGTGTCTATCCACAAAGCTGTTTACTTAACTGCTTAAGCTGTTTATTTTAACTGTTTATATTAAGCTGAAATTAATAGAATAATGTAATTTTCTGGAAATGTTTTGAAAATTCATTTTATTTGTATATTAGAAAATAGTTTAAATTGTTATATTTAAACAAATTAATAGGATAGCAATTTATTTAATATAATTTTCGTTTATTAATAGGTGCTACAGAAAATGATTCAAAAAACAGGAATGTACCATTACATTACATATGGTAAGTATTTTCATAAAAAGTAAATCATTTAAATTACTACAAATTAAAATGATTACCAGATGAATATGCTAAAATGACATATTGTTAATGTAATGATATTTAAATCATTAATAAATACTAAATGTGAAGGAATACATAAAAATAATCTGTAATTACAATGTACTGTACCGAGATTATATGCTTTTTCACTAATGACAAGCGTTATTTTTTAATGATTATGGACTGCTACAAAATAAATATATAGTCTATGACAACTGGGCAATGCATACTCTTGACATCACTGACACGTGTATACTTATTACATTTAACTCTGACTACGGCTTGAAAGAAAATTACTTAAAGACACATAGTGAAAAAGACAAACGAAGTGCAGAAAATGATTCAGTTAAAACATACATTGAAATATTTTAATATAGATATATTTAATGAAAGTGGTTATAATATACAGGAATATTTCAGAAAATTTGAAATTTTACACTTCTTTGTTTGCAGGCACACAAACTTGTGGGCCATTTTCTTATTTAATACAATGAAAGATTGCGTGATTAACGGAATATTTTAAAAATTACAATAATAACTACTTATATATTTAGTAAATTTGGTTAATGTAAGTACTTTTATTTTTGCAAAACATTTTTTTAAAATTTCAATGCATAGCAATAAGAACAATTTATAACACCGCACATTTAAAACATATACCATGAATGCTATATATTTAAATATAAGAATGAGAAAAGTACAGAAAATATTCAATGTGACATTTTCACTCCACTAAACTTTACTACCTCTCACAATATTAA